CGCCGGCGGCCGGCCCGGAGCCGTGCCCGCAGCCCCGGCGGGAGGCCGAAGTGCGGGGAAAAGGGGGAATAAATACCCCCCCTGCACACGGGGGACGAGCATCTGTCCGGTTTATAACATTCCTTGATTTTTTTTCTATGGCTGAGGTCAGGATTAAGCGCTCGAGTTTATTCTGTAACCTCTCCGTGCCATTCAGCATTAACTTGAGAGATATATTTCCAGGATAGTGCAACTCGATATTTCTCGGAGCTGTGGTGACTTTATATATCTATTTTTTTTTTTAATAAAGTCGATCACCCTTTTTAAGCGTAGGAAAACGATATGCATGTGTGTATAAAGGGCTTAAAGGCCTAAGTATGCAAACATTTAAATATATATTAATCTGGATAATGTAAAGCAAGCCGGAGTGAAAATAAACAGGGACCAAAATCGGAGGTCAAGTTGCCCATTCATGTCTGTCCACTCCTTTACATTTACCGGGTGTGCAGAGATAAAAACTTACCCTAAGAGTGAAATCAAACAAACCTGCTGATAAGTGCTCTGACGATCCTTGCCGTTTCTTTCTATTCCTGGGCAAGCCTCCGCCTCGGAGCCGGGGGTTGCTGGTGGTGGCCGCGGTCGGGGGATCTCTAATGTGCCGAAGATTGCATTTGCTGGCTCTGATTTGATTAGACGATACATTTTTGCCTTTCGCAGAAGGCCTTAAGTGGATTGGGGCAAGCAATTAGACCTAGCCAAGGCTCTCGTGGTGGTGTTGCTATTGTAGCTGCTGCTGCTTCTTTACTCGATTTTATTTTATTTTATTTTTTTCACGTTGAAATCAAAAGACATTGCGGCCGGAGCCCAAACAGCTTCTCCCCCTCTCCTAGGAGAGCTCTGCTGGGATTTTAACCCCCCTCCGAGAGGTCCAGCGGAGAGGCTAACCCCGGCGAGCTGGAGCTGTCAGTGCTTTTTGTTGGATGCTGCGAGGAGTGTGCGTGTGTTTGGAGTGTGCTCGGCGGGGAGGAGGAGTGAGGGGAGGAAGGAGAGGGAAGGCAAATTAGGAGGAGAAAGTGCCGATGGCTGGGGGAAGTGCGAGGCGGGGATGCTGCTCCAGCTGACCGTCTTCTTTCCCCCCCCCTCTGCCCTCTGCTGCCGGCCGCTGCCCCCCCCCCCAGACCATTTTAAACTCCATGCACAAGTACCAGCCCCGGTTCCACATCGTCCGAGCAAACGATATTCTCAAGCTTCCCTATAGCACGTTCAGGACCTACGTTTTCCCGGAGACTGAATTCATCGCAGTGACCGCATACCAGAATGATAAGGGAAGGAGATTAAGAAAGGATTTGTTTTACGTGTTTTGGCTTTTAAGAGAGCTTTTACTCTGCATTGTTCCCTTAAAA